AATTACAGTGAAAAATCACTAAAAAATGCACTGAAATTCCATTGGAAAATACCACTTGAAAAATACACTGTAAAAATACCACTTAAATAACATTAAAAAATCCACTGAGAAAAATACTAAAATTCGACTAAGAATTACACAGCAAAAACCACTAAACAAAATTTCTGCAATACCACTAAGAAAAAACATGTAAAATAAATTAAAAGTACACTAAAAATCCACTAGGATTCTGTGTAAAATTACACTGTAAATCCAATAAGATTTACTATGTAAAGCCTATTAAAGTACACTGTAATTCCACTAGGCATTACAGAGCAAAATCAACTAATAGTTACACTGAAAACCATCATGGATTACAGTAAAAACTCCAGAATTACAGAGTTCTAATATTGGATTTGGACACAAGAAGGTGGACAAGGCAATGCACATGAAGCAGATGAAAATGTCTTCATCGGGCAATTCTTCAGAGGTGGATTTTAGTTTATTGCAGAAGAATGAAACTGGTGGGATGCTAGTCACATTGAAATGAGACAAGATAAACTCACAACCAGCATCAGCATTGGACACAATAGGCTCACCGTCAACAGGAAGACCTAATATATCATGGGTGACATATTCGCAAATCGGAATAAACATTTTCCTAATCTGAATCACTGAAGCACGAACATCAAATTTGGATGCTAGCCATTTGACAAACCTAAATGGCACCTCTGTCCTCACAAATTTGAGAAGGCAATCTGCCCCATAACTCTGAAGAACACGTACTTGCTGAGGAGACAAGCCGCCAATAATAGTGGAGAACAACTTGCTAGAGTATCTAGTGAATGTATTTGCTACGGGAAAATCAGAAGACCTCGTGCGCTTCTACAATAGAACAAGAAACACAAAACAAAAAAAAGGAATCAGGATAAAAATACACTAGATCAACAATGAAAAAACATCTAGCAGAAACATCAAACAAGGGGAAAAAACAAATTTAAATCTATCTCAAACTTATATCTATCTCTATCAGAGTGGTAGTTGGGTACAGAAAATGCGAATAGAACAAAGAAACATAAATACCACATTGCGAGCTCCAACATCTGCTATCTTCCGTTTCAGGCAATTCGCTTTTTGCAAGATATATAAACAGGCAATGAATTATACAATAAAAACAAACATAAATGAAAACTGGAACAAAATGCAATAATTACAACAACACGCTTACATGCGACACATAGAAATCATACAAAGCTTTGTCAAAATCAGGATCATCCATTGAACCTTCCTGCAGTAAACAGTAAAAAGGAATAAGCTGACTGGAACAAATAAGTTACCAAACAAGAACAAACAAAAAAAGGAAAATCAAATATCAAAACAAGAAAATAACCTCTGAAGCTTGGAAAGAATCGTCCTCGGCGAAATCATTGGGGACAAAAGGATCCCCATCAAAATCATCAGACTCTTCTAAGCAAGCAGAAGAAAAGCCCTTACCAAGACCCTTCATGATTCTACCCATACTTTAATCTATTTCCGAAATATATAAAAACACATAGAAAGGAACAATGCTAAGAAGAAATGGCAGAAAGGTAAAACAATACAAAAAAAGAATATTTACATACACCAAAGGCAGATCCGTACAAAGATCAGCCAGACAAATACAAAAAATACATGAACTAAATCATAAAAATACAAAACTACTGCCGTAAAAGCGCAAAGAACTTTATGGATATGCATAAATTTCTAACAGCTATATAGCTGTAACATTTACCATATGTTTGTTTATAATTATATTACAACTGAATAACTAAAGTGCCTAACAAATAAATTACACAAAAACTACAAAAAAATAACTAACTAACATTATCAGGCAAAACTATCCAAAACACCATGCAAAAAAACCAGAAACTGACATTAGTGTGAAGCAAGACATCACAAATAAAAATGAAATAACATCAACAATCAGTTGCAAATACATCACAGTAAAATAACCACTAGGATTACAAGGAATATAACACTGATAAAGAACCGCTAGGATTTACAGTGATGGCGTGCTACAAATCCCAGTAGCATTTGCAAAATTATAATTACACTGATAAGATATAGAAATTACAGTGACAAAACCACTACGAATTACAGGATTAATTCAAAATAATTCACTAAAAGAAAGCCTCTAGGGATTGCACTAGAAAATCACTCTAAAAAGGTGAAGTAAAAAAACACTAAATTTTGCACTAAGAAATACAGTGTGTATCCAGTAAAATGTACAGTGACAAACCAGTAAGATTACAGTATAAATCCACTGAGATTACAGTGTAAATCAAGAAAAGAATTACAGTGAAAATCAACAAGGAATTACAGTGCAAATTAATAAAGAGTTTCAGTGCATATACAGTGTAAATCAACAAAGAATTACTGTGTAAAAACATAAAATTACAGTACTAATTACACTAAGATTTACAGTGTCAAAATCAAACGGTAAACTAGCATCAACACTTACGGGCTATAATGGGGATCACAATGCAAATCCACTAGGAATTGCATTGTAAAAACAAAAAAAAAGTAGGAATTACAGTACTAATTACACTGAAACCAATAAAATTACACTGATAAACCAATATGAATTACACTGATTAACCAATAGGGGTTACACTGTAATTACACTGAAAACCAAATAGGAATTACATTCTCACCCAACTGCATATCCAATGACAATTACAGTGCAAATCCAATGAAAATTACAGTGTAAACCCAAAATGAGAAGTACAGTGTAAATCCACTAGCAATTACACTGTAAATCCATTGAGAATTACAATGTAAATCCATTGAGAATTACAGCCACAATCCCAAGGCGACCCAGCATGCCAACCATACATACACACTGTGACAGTAAAAATGGCCCAGGGGAAAATTAACACATACTCCCTCTGTAAACTAATTAGTGATCTAAACGTTCTTATATTAGTTTACGGAGGAAGTAGATACTAACAATGGAGAGCAGGGACTGAACGATGATCTGCTATGTTCGAATTGCTCAAATAGCGCATACAAAATCAAACAACCAGCCAAATTCAAACAATTAACCACAGTGCCCATCTCATAGATCGATAGATCTCACGAATTACAGGAGGGATTTGGGGGTGTGAGAGATAGAGTACATGAGAGGATGCAGAGGAAAGTTGGGGTAGGTACAGAGAACAGGAGGAAAAGTTCAGACTAGACTCACACATACCTCTCACACACGGCATGACATGCTAACAAATACAGAGCACACACACCCTGTCGCGTGGGTACACCAGTCAGCCTACCACACCACACTCAAGGCTACACCTCTCTGTAAACCATCAAATTGACTGTTGTGTGCTGCACCATCTCCTCGGTCATCAGCTTCAGGCGACTCTATTTTCACACTTGGCAAATCAATCCCAGAAACCATACATCGATTGAAGGTGTGACACACATGCAGATCAATGAAACTAACAACCAACCAGAAACCCTAATCAAAATTTGCATGACAGACGAGATTCAAACACAGGAAGGGCGGAACCGCACACATCTACACAAGAAGCTGCCGGAAATTAACACAAGCAAACAGATCTGACCGAGAAAACACTACGCACTAACATACAGAGCTGAGAATCAAAGCAACAGGGGGGAACATACCGAATCGAACAAAACCGACGAGCGGCGAGGGGGGGCTCCAAATCGCCATGGATATCTCTCTCAGTTGCCTTCTGAGTTACGTGTTCGAAATGAAAAGGGGATCGAGCGGCGCGGGGAAGAGACAGAGGAAGGAAAGAAAAAGAAAAACACCGACGCGCGGCAGCGAGCGGTACTAACGGGTTTGGAAAATACAAGCGGGCCCGATAAGAAACTCAGCGCCAGCAAACGACGAAAAAAAAGCACGAATCTCGCGACAGAGATCGCACGTCTCAAAAAACGACTGAAAGCCAGTAAATTTCATCCGTATGAAAATTAGCAATTCCGAAGATAATATGGTATTTGTGACTTGTTCCATGTTCGTATGATGTACTTCCTCCATTAGAAATTACTCATCCAAAAAATGAATGTATCTAGATGTATTTCAGTTATAGATACATCCATTTTTATCCACTTTTATGACAAGTACTTCCGAACGGAGGGAGTATGATCTATGGTTGGTGGGTCACAGTTGTTGACGCTCTGTTTTTCACTCCTTTTCTCTTGCGGCACACAAACGGTAACACGTCCGGATATGTATGTAGCAAGAACAGGTGAGCAAGCAAAGCCAACAAACAGCAGAAAGATCGTTTGGCCGTTTGGTTTTATCCATATATACACCTGATCTGCTCCGTGACAGCAATTGCATTGCACGATTCAGCCACCCGATTAAGCATGCATGAACTTGAGTTTTGCACGGCGTCGTTGGCCTGATCGATAATGGCTCGGACGCAGACACCGCCCGCGACACAGCATCACCAACACGTTTGCCAAAAATGAAAAGGTTTGCCGAAAACAATAGAGTAATTGTGGCAAAGCAGCAACAGCACGGCACCGCATAAGCATGTATTCTTTCTGAAGCTTAGAGACGGCAGTAAATACTCATTGTGTCCAAGGAGTAGCTATAAAAGTCATGCGTGCATCAGGAGTAAGATCAGGTTTGTGCCGGCCAGCTCTAACACGCAAATGGCTAAAAATGACAAAATAGCTACGTAATATTATTATTATGAAAAATTTAGCCAAAAGAGGCCAAGAGAAACAACAGCAAAATAGCTACGGAATGCCTATTAAATCTTTGCCCATATCTGCTTAGAGAAGTCCTGGGAACTTGGTTCGCTTCTTTGCTACAGCTACGACAAAACAAGTAGGATGAACGACCACTCTGCAAAGTCAGCGTCATATCGACCCAAGGTTGTTTTTCCAGGATAAAACTGCCACAGAAAATGGGGAGAAGAAAGAAATCATAGTTTCATTATCAGCGGTAGTTTCAGGTTCGCCACGCTGGGAAGCTTTGTCGTCACACGATGGCTTCACATCTCTGCTCACATGGACGGCATTTCAAGCGCCTGAAGGACGTCTTTGAACTCGAAATCGTGTGTTTCCTTGTTGAAACGCTCCACGAGCTTGTACCGCACATCGTTCAGGTAGAACGAGTGGGCGGTCTCTAAAAGACACTTTGCCTCTGCATCGGTTAGTTTGCTGGTGAAGACAACGTCTCCTCGGACAAGCACTGTATCCTTGGTTTCTGCAAACTCTGTGAAATGAGTGACTGTATAGTAAGGGCTTGCTTGAGTTCCTCTTGCTTTATAGTCTTCAAGCCCTGTGAAGATCATGTGTGGCAGCTGGACTGCAATGTTGAACGACAGAGAATGGAGCAGTTAGCTCAAAACAAAATAAACGCTGTCAATTCCCATAGGTGGGTTTGAACAAACAAATGGCCATGCAGAAAACGGTGTTTCGACACCAACCCCTTCATAAATTTCACCAAAATTTACCGAACTTTTAGTCTCTGCAGCCTCACTGCCTTGCATTTATGGACAAGATACTAGGCATAAATATTAAGAGTATCAGATGTAGAGTTACAAGAAATATACTACCCCAGCACACCCAACATTTGGATGGGGTGTTCAAAATATAATTAGTTAGTTACTGATACATCTACGTGTAAATACATCAGTACTATAAGCTATTAACTGATAGGGCCTGAAGTTAGCGTGATGATACAGCATGGATACTTGGTTCATTTGTTATGTTCAGATATATTTCTCTTGAACAGTAGTCTGTCGATGTTCATTTGGTACGAGTGTGAGTACATATACCATTCTTGAGAGGCAAACTGGCTACAGGACACTACAAATTCATGACATTTGCTCCATCACACTCCAAATTTGCAACTTTGCTAAAGCATTCTAACACTGCGTCGCCCGAACACACCACCAATTATAATATATTGTTTGGCTTAAGAGGAGAGAGAGCAGGCAAAGTCTGCTTTATTCTCATGAGTACAGTATCTTTGAACTTGTAAACACACTGGTGCATGTTTAGTGATCGAGATTCAATTGTTGTGCATGTCTACTTTGTGCATCTATTAATTTGTCAAAAGAAATTACAAAAAATGGCAAAACAGACTTTTCACGCGTTTTCCCACTCCCAAATCAGATAGTTATTATAGTAGGTGGAGTGCGTGTTGGCAAATTGATGCAAGCTTAAAGTTTGTCTGGCAAGCTTTGAATTTATAGTACAATAGAGTAAATAATACAGATATATAGTATCATGTAGCAAATTTTGCCTAGATATCAGGTTCAAACAGCCCCATCTAGAATAAACAGATTTGTTTTCCAAGGGTTATAATAACCCGTTTCATTTACTGATAATCAAAAAAACATACAATTGGACACTTGAACAATAACATGCACAGGATATTTAGAATGTCAGATTGACCAAAGCCCATTGATATGAAAATTAATAAATACTCCCTCCGTCCGAAAATACTTGTCATCAAAATAGATGAAAAGGGATGTATCTAGAACTAAAATACATCTAGATACATTCCTTTTTCATCTTTTTGATGACAAGTATTTTCGGACGGAGGGAGTATACGTTTAGTAAAGAATATACTTATAGACTGTAACAAAGTTCAATTTCAATGGAAAATTATGAAAAGGAAAGCAGTCAACAAGGCTTATGAAAATCGAATATTTGCAGAAGAGCCGAGAAATAACCTTGCATAAACATGGTGGTATATCCACTTCCTCTCCACAAAGGAATAACAAAATATGGGCTACCAAAAAGATAAATTAGTTAAATAAATAGTTTAGAAATTAATCATGGTGATGGAATCAAAACTCCAATCAACAAACAAATACCATGTAGCCGATCTTTGTTCCAAAAGACAGTAAAGCTTTGCTTTCATTGATACACCTATGTGACCTCTTCCCAAGTGGTACTAATGTTCCATGAAAGAATAGTGACACAAATAAATTGTACAAAAGTAATGTCAGGATGGATTCCAATGCAGTAAGCAATATGTGCAGATACAGAATAATGCTGTAATGTCAACAGCATAAGACATAAAACTTTTAGTAACTGGATGATAATTAGGCGAAGACAAAACTTAGTTTGCTAATTTTCTGGGTTAACAGGACAATATGTGAGATTACTGGTCATCGCACTAGCCTTTCGAATACAGAAGTTCCTAGGGAAGATATAGGTTCCTCCCCACCCTTGATGCAAATATTGCTTGGTTTTTGCATCATATGGGACAGGATGGTCTAAATATCCCACTTGTTTCTGCTATTTTCCAACCTGTAGGTTCGATTCTTTGCCCAAACAAAGGCATACAACAAACTTGTCTTGCCTTCAGGTAGGGGCATGACAGATTGTCAGATGCAAAACGTTCTATAATAACAGCTAGTGAAGCACGCAGCTCCTACCAATCCACAAATATCCATCTGCCTTCCCTCTTCTTGCTTTCCCTACCTATCTCCACACACGATCCATCTTACCCATCCAACCCATTAATATGGCCCGTTAATGGTTTTCACCCTGAAGACTGCAACTGATATACAAGTTTACAAACAATGGGATGACATGGGCTAGTCTGTTATGCACTGAGCAGCAATTGTGATCCAAGCACTTTTAGGGCGCAGGGCACTGCGAGCATATCTCATGGTTCCAGATTTACAAATAGCTATGATAATTTGGTTCCATTGTTTTCATCCTTAGAGATCATTCAGATACCTTAACTTTTCTTAGGGACAAATACCTTCAAACCGTTTGTTATCTACTGTATATACCAGTACAGAAAATGAAATTCGTGCGCTTATCAACGATCTCCTCAACGCTAGCTAGTACAGGGGAAAACAAAATGTACGGTAAAAGGGGAAGGGTACTGACGTCATCCCATGCCGCGACGAGGTGTTCGGGGGAGAGGCCCTTGGCGCGCTCGACGTCGAGGATGGATCCCAGCTTCTTCGGCTCCAAGGGGGTGAATCCGCTCGCGAACCGGGAGTACCCTCTCCGCGGTAGCCAGCGGGCAAGCTCGGCCGGCGCGGCGGCTACCTCCGCCGGCAGATGTGGCGGTCGAGTGGCAGGACAGCCGCCACGTGAGGGGGCGGGGCGGCTCCGGAGTGATCCGGCCGCCGCGGAGCGCAGGAGTCGCAGCGGTAGCCGCCGCATAGCCGGAGCAGCAGGGAGACTGGTAGTGGTGAAGTTTTTGTTTCAGATGGTGGTGGAGTGTTTTGGGATTAGCCGGAGCAACAGGAAGAACCCCTCCAGAATCGATCGATCTGCTCACACGTTGTGGGGGCACGTGCACAGAAGATTTGGGATAAATTGCAAAATTACCACGAGGGTATATGGGTCACCTCACATACACATACTGATGGTTTTGGGTTAAAAAGTTGCAAACACAACTTAGGGCAAATGATCGAAAAATTAAGGCCTTTGTCGTTTCAGCAGCGAAAACCTCCTGAAAATATACATCTGGAAAAGAAAACGATTGGTGCTCGACCGCCCGTTTGGATCATCGTTTCTGGGGTGTATATTTGACGTGTGTATTCCGCCGGTTTCTTATTTGACACGTGCATTCCGCCGGTTTCTTATTTGACACGTGCATTCCGCCGGTTTTGAAGACAGACCTCCGGCCATTGTTTTCTCCTCATATTCCGTCGTTTTAGGAAATACTCTGATGTCATCGCCGCCGCGAGCCCTCGACCACGACGGCAAGCGCAAGGAACCTACGCCGCCCCAGCCGGCACAAACCACCTCGTCGGCGCCGTCACCAGAGCGGCGGGGGTGTTTGGTTTGCCGACCGACGGAGCCGAGCTCATCTCCATGAACATGTTTGCCTTTCACTTCCGGCCGCCGCCGGCGCTGGACATCGGCCTCACCCTCACCGTCAACACCACCCACCCCAGTGTGGTACCCATGTGCTACGGCGCCTCCAACGTCTCCATCCTCTACGACGGTGCGCTCCTCGGCACCGCGCGCCTCGACGCCGGCCAGCAGCCCCTGAGATCGCAGGAGTTGTGGCGGTGGGGAGGAGAAGATATTTCGGATGGAGAAGTGCCCGGGCAGGCGGCGGTGGGGATCGACCTGACAAGGAGAAAGGGGAGAGCGGCTGCTGCGTTGTTGGCGGTGAATCGACACTGCTCAAGGAGCTCCGTGGAAGATTCGTAGCCAAGCACTGGTTCACAACCACCTGTAAAGTAATGGTTATTTTAGTAGAGCAGTAAAATACACTTGTATGTTTTTTTGCGGGTGTATTATTTTACATCGATTCCAATCGGGGCCTAAGTTAAGTCATCATGTGGGATTAGAACGCAAGTCAAGAGGGGAACACAATTTACATGGCTTCACAAGGGCGGGAGGCTTTTCCATTGATCTTATTATACCATAAACCTGCCAGGGCTCGAAACTTAGACTATAGTACAAAGTTTCTTACATGAAATTAAAGTGGATATACAATAATAGTCAGAAAACAAGAAAAACATACTGATTCCAAAAAGCAATAAGCAGCCACTAGGCGACCACCAATGCATTATTTTAGTAGGACACACTAATCTGTAGAGCGAAGAGGCTAAGCGCTTTGGACTTCAACTTCATTTGCTGCAGCGGACCGCTTCCCAACAACCTTTTTTTTTATTTTAGAACGAAGACGTAGGAAGCGTCCGACTTTAAATTAATAAAGCCTACCAACAGGCAGCATTCATCAGGTTCAATGCAATACAGCAGAAAAGGAAATGGCCGCAACCAAAGTACGATACATGCAACCGGACTGAGCCTGAATGAGATAGAACAGAAACTACAGCTCCCAAGCAGCCAGTCCAAAACAAAGCAGCCAACAGCAAACTAGTGGCGGGCATCAATCTGGATCATACGAATCCGCTCCATGGCCTCCGTCATCCGGTCTGCGTCACGCCATTTCCCCAAGGGTGTCCATGTGTGAAGGAACAAGTGACATTTGAAAATAATGTCAGCAGGGTGAGTAGGAAATTTGTGCTCAATAGTTATCTTATTTCGAGTAGTCCATAGGGCCCACAACAGCGCTCCTACACATCTCCAAAGAACACGCCAAAAACCACACCTATGAGCGATTAGAATCCCACGAAGGTCCGAAGCCGAAAGCGGGTTCCAATTTTGCCCAAACGCCTCCCGCACAGCACTCCAAGCAAAGCGGGCAAGGTGGCATTTGAAGAAGATGTGGTTAGCATCTTGGTGCTCACCACATAGTGCACATGAACGATCGGAAGGCCCGTTCCTTTTGGCGATGTTGTTAGAGGAAGGGAGGCGGTCACGAAACATTTGCCAAAGGAAAACTTTGATCTTCAAGGGGATAGACGCTTTCCATAGCCCCCTAGCTATGTCCAGGGCCGGTCCCTCGGTCAGCTTGTTGTATAAAGACTGAACTGGAAACTTCCCGGAGCTCGTGAGGGACCAAGAGACCGTGTCGGCCTCGGGTCGGAGAGCCACTCCATTCAAAGCAGTTAATAGCCCATCCCAACAGGCCCGTTCGTGAACGAGGAGTGGTCTTTTGAAGGAAATGATGGGCGGGCTGGATCTAAGTGCGCCGGCCATGAGAATATCAACGTTAGTGACTAATTGGTAAACGGCGAAATGACTGCGCCAAAGTGGTTCCGAGCCAAGCCAATGGTCGAGCCAAAACCTCGTGGAGGTGCCGTTATTAACGCTGAACTTGGCTCCTGATGTGAAGGCTGGCTTAACGGCCTGGATCTCGTTCCAGAAAGGCGACCCCTTAGACTTAGAAGTGAGGAAATTCCCATCGGGAAAGTATTTAGCACGTAGGATATCTGCCCAAAGCCCTTGTTCGTTCTGGGCAAGTTTCCAAATCTACTTGGTGAGGAGCGCAACATTCATGAGTTTGGAGTTTAGGATCCCTAGACCACCAAATTTCTTGGGACGGCACAGCGCTGCCCACTTGATCAAGTGGTACTTATTTTTGTCCCAGTTCCTTCCCAAAAGAACTTGGAACGAGGTGTATCGAGCTTGGCGTGAATCCCATCAGCCAGCAGGAACATGCCCATAGTAAACATGGGTAAAGAGGATAGGCTAGTATTTGTCAGGATCAACCTGGCAGCCAAGGAGAGGAATCGGCCGCGCCAAGGGCTAACCCGGTTCGCCACCTTGCCGTACAGAGGTTCCCACTCTAAAATAGAGATGTGCTTATCCGAGATAGGTGGACCTAAGTACTTAATTGGGAAGCTCCCTAGCTTGCAATTAAGCAGGTTGGCAATACGGGCGGCGAGGGGTGAGTCCATCCCAATGGCAATCACCTCACTCTTGAGAAAGTTGATCTTCTGATATAATCTCGAAAGCGAGGAGAATGAGTTTAATCGAGGCTACACTATGATCATCAGGCTCGAAGAGCAACAAGGTGTCATCCGCATATTGGAGGTGCGTGATCCCACCGGGGATGAGGTGGGGAACAACTCCGCGGATGTGGTCGGCGCCCTTAGCCTTGTGCACCATGGCAAAGAGGGCGTCTGCAACAAAGTTAAAGATCAAAGGCGGGGAAGGATCTCCCTGCCTGAGACCTCGTTTGTTGCGAAAGAAGTTCCCAACTTCTCTTTTAATCGACACCGTAGTCTGCCCCCCCCCCGAGACCAGGTGCATGATACGGTGAACAAAACCTAATTCGAATCCCTTCCGAATCAGTACCTCATGAATGAACTCCCAGTTCACTCGATCGTAAGCTTTCTCAAAGTTGAGCTTGAGAAGCACTGCCGACTGCCGCGTGCGTGTAAGCTCGTGTTCAATCTCTTGCAACACTAACGGCCCTTCGAGAATGTTGCGGCCTTTGAGGAAACCTGACTGACTACGGTCAATCACGCGCTGCGCTACCAGGGCAAGCCTCGCCGAGTAGGCCTTCGAGCAAATTTTGAACGACACCTTAATAAGAGTGATGGGGGGATATTGCTTGATAGAGTCGACCCCTTTAAATTTGGGGATGAGACTGATGACTCCGAAGTTGAGGCGCAAAATGTCTATCGTACCTAGCACGAAGCCATCGATAATATCGTAAAAAACTGTCTTTGAGCGTAGGCCAAAAGCGGCGAAAGAAAGCAACCGACCAGCCATCCAGGCCAGGTGTTGTATCTATCTTCATCGAGCTAACCGCTTCGTCAATCTCCGATGTGGAGAAGGACAGGGCCAAGGAATCGTTCTCGGCTTGCGACACACGGGCTTCTTCCCCCCAAAAGTCACCACGTAGGTGCAAGGGTTTCTCCTCCGTTGTTCCCAACAGGTTAAGGAAGAAACCATAAATGTGGGCTGAAATCTCTGCTTGACTAACCAACAGCCCATGCTCGGATTGTAGTCTCAAAATCGTGCACTTCCGTTTACAGCCATTGGCAAAGGCATGAAAATAGCCTGTGTTCGCATCACCCTTAGTAATCCACTTGACGCCGCCCCTACGTCGCCAATATTCCTCCTCTTCCCTGAGGATGGCAAGCACCTGGTTTTCGAGGGCATAATGGTTAGCCCATTCCGCTTCCGAAAATGATCTGGAGTCAGCTTGCACGTCTAGGGATTTTATTTCTTCGAGAATAGCTTCCCTTGCGTGTTTAGCTTCACTCTTGTGGTTTGCACCCCACTCGCGGAGGAAACCACGAAGAGCACCGGCTGCCGTAACCCAAGTGTCGAGAGGGCCCCTGGAACGGCCAGCTGCAGCCCTTGCTTGCTCCCAGTGAGCAAGGAGCATGGGACCGAACCCTTCTACCTCGAACCACCCAGTTTCAAAGTACAAACGCGGGCTTCGCTTGATCCTATCCTTCCCAGAGGCCAAGATCAACGGTACATGGTCCGACCCGATGCGCGTTTCCGTGACCAACGTGCACATGGGAAAGAGCACTTCCCAGTCTGTCGTAAGAAAGACTCGGTCAAGGACGCTACGCACCGGAGCGAGTTACTTGTTAGTCCACGTATATCTAGCGCCAGTCCTAGCAATTTCCCACAGGGCACAAGCCGCAATAGCATTGTTGAAAAGAGTAACTCTAGGCCAGTCAATATTGCGGTTGTTCTTATCCGCTCCCGAGCGTATAAGGTTAAAATCTCCCCCAAGGACGATGGGGATATCTGCGGCTTGCTTGGCTCCAACCAAGTTTTGGATTTCACCCAGGAAATCCGCCGCGCGCGAGTGGTCTGCCGGGCTGTAAACA